GAATTTTGGGAATGAAATTTATGCGAGATGCTATGGAAAATGGGCGAAAAATGAATAAAGGTTTAATAGATGATTTCGTTGAAGATTTAGAAAATGAAAATTTTAGTGGCAGTGATATTGATAATCAAGAAAAAAAAAAAATTAAAGATAATAATAATAATAATAATAATAATAATCAAATTATTAATGGAAGAATGAAAATTGGAGTTAAGGTAATAAAATTTTAAATTTAAACATATTATTTAAAATATACAATTTTTTTTTTATTTTATTTTGTAAAATAATTTAAATAATTTAAATAATTTTAATAATTTTAAAAAAAATCAAATATTGATAATTCAAATAATTTGGATGATTCGGATAATTTGGATAATTTGTTAATTGAGAAAAGATCAGTTATTGAGGTTATTGAGGTTATTAACTCTGTTAACTCTAATACAAAAAAGGATGACAAGAAAGATTTACAGTCTGAACAAAAAAATAATGATGAGTCATTATCTCAACAAAATAAAAATAATTCAAACGATAACGAAGAAAATCCCTGGCTTCAAACTGATACTGCAGTTACTTCCAAAATATTAAATCATAAAAATAATAAACGAATTAAATCATTAGGAGAAAACAAATCTGATAAATTAATTTCGAAAACAAAGAAACATCAATTGAAAAATCAAATAAAAGAGGACATTGTTGAAATTGATGTGAATAAAACTTTCACCTTTATTACTCCTGCTATTACTACTACTACTCAAATAGTGGATAATCAAGATAAAAACAAGGAATCTAAAAAGAAGGAAAAGAAGAAAAAGAAAAATGTAACATTCAACAACAACATCAACCACACCACTAAAATTGATGAAAATTTAAGTGATTCCAATGATGAGAATGATGAAGCAATTAAGAATTTTGTGCATATAAAGAATTCTACTGCATTTTCACATCGAGAATTAGTTGCTCGAGCATTTGCGAATGATAATGTTGTTGATGTATGTACTCTTTTTTTTTAAAAAAATAAATAAATAAATAAATATATATATATATTATAAATAAAATATTCGTGTATAAGAATATTCATATAAATTATTCATTTTTTTTTTTACAGGAATTTG